CAAGAACAATGTTGATTGACATTGGCATTGCGAAGAGTTTCTGGGCAGAAGCAGTCAACACTGCGTGCTACTTGATGAACAGGTGCATGATCAAGTCCCTCCTGAACAAAAACCCATATGAACTGCTGAACGGAAGGATGCCCAAGCTAACACATTTGAGGACATTTGTCTGCAAATGTTTTGTTCTCAGCAATGGTAAGGAAGCACTTGGAAAATTTAATGCCAAAAGTGATGAAGGAATCTTTCTAGGCTATTCATCACAAAGCAAAACTTACAAAGTATACAACAAAAGAACTCAATGTGTTGAGGAAAGCATACATGTAATCTTTGATGAATATCACCACCTATGTGGGAAATATTCACATGATAAGATGGATCAAAACGGAGAGCAGTCAACTGTTCCTAGATAAGTCATCGACATGGCAAATGGAAAGGCTGACATGATGAGTCATGTCAAGGAGTCAAATGATGATGGTTCAGTTGTATCTCCAACTGATGTGAAGGAACCTAGTCCCTCAATCACAACAACTGAAGCTGAGAACAGACTGGTAGATGCTGTCCAGAGAACTCCAGATGTTGAGCTGAGAAGCGGATCTCACGTCAACCAAAGATCACATTCAGAAGTACCTGGATCCTCTCGCAATGAGATTCAGGTATCTAACTTGAAGCACAAAAGTTTACATCCTCTTCAAAATTTGATCACTCATCTTGACTCCGGGATTCAAACTAGAACAAAGTCAAGAAATTCACTTGGCTTCTCAGCGTTTCTTTCTTAAGTTGAGCCCAAAAATATTAAGGAATCATTGAAAGATGCTGACTGGATTACTGCTATGCTAGATGAATTTCATCAATTTGAGAGAAACATCGTGTGGCACCTAGTTCCTCGACCTGCTGACAGAACTGTCATAGGAACTAGGTGGGTATTTATAAACAAACTTGATGAGTTTGGGAACAAAACAAGGAATAAAGGAAGGCTAGCAGTTCAAGGGTACAATCAAGAAGAAGGGATTGACTATGATGAAACTTTTGCTCCAGTTTCTCGAATGGAGGCCATCAAAATTCTTATTGCCTTTGCATCTTATATGGATTTCAAATTATTACAAATAGATGTCAAAAGTGCCTTTCTGAATGGCTTCCTAAAATAAGAAGTCTTCGTCAAGCAACTACCTGACTTCGAATGTCATGAGCATCCTGAGCATGTTTCTAAACTCGACAAGGCCTTATATGGACTGAAGAAGGCTCCTCGTGCATGGTATGAAAGGTTGTCCAAATTTCTTCTAGAAAATGGCTTTATAAGAGGAAATATTGACAATACCTTATTTCTGAAAAAACGGGGGAGGAACTTGCTTATTGTGCAAGTTTATGTTGACGACATCATCTTTGGTACAACAAATGATTCTCTATGTGAGTAATTCACAAAGCTTATGGGAAGTAAGTTTGAAATGAGTATGATGGGGGAATTGAATTTCTTCTTGAGTCTACAAGTCAAGCAAACTCCTAAGGGCACAATGATAAGTCAGCAGAAGTATATCAAAGAGCTTCTGAAGAGATTTGAAATGGAAAGCTCAAAAATCATTGATACTCCCATTACCACTACCACTCGTCTGGACATGGATGAACCTGGTTCACCTGTGAATGAGACCATGTATAGAGGTATCATTGGGTCACTCATGTATCTCACAGCAAGCAGACCGGATATCGTTTTCAGTGTGGGACTGTGCGCCAAATTTCAATCTAATCCAAAAGAATCCCATCTGAAGGCTACCAAGAGAATCTTGAGATATCTCAAAGGAACGCAGGACCTGGTTCTCTACTATCCCTTAGGAGATAATTTTGATTTAATCGAATATGCTGAAGTTGATTATGCTAGTTATCTAGTGGATAGGAAAAGCACTTCTGGCATGGCACATTTTCTGTAT